TCTGGTTTGAAATTTTAGGCGCTTTCCTTTCTTTATTTATTAGGCTACCCTCCAAATCTCTTTATTTTTATTTTTGGATTGTTTTATATGTTCTATTGTATGTAGTGCCTTTTGGTCTCTTACATGTTTGTCGTAGGTAGCCTTTAGTCTTGTAAATGTTTGTTTATCTTCTAGTGAGTCTGTGAGTAGGAATTTGCTGTGTGCGGCTGCAGCTGCATTTTTCAACTGTATGGTTTTGTAGTCCCAAAATGGGTTCTTAGGTTTAATGTTATAGGTCTTATATGTTCTAGGCATTGTCGAGTCCATTTCTTTTATTATAATTTCCAGGAAGTTTTTGTATTTTTCATCAACGGTTTCCGCTTGGTAAACATTTTCCCAATTTTGTTCACTTAGATTTCTCTTTAGTTTGATGAGGTTGTTGTCCGTCGTAGGTTGTATTATTTTCTTCAGCGGTGCTGTTTCGTTTAGGGCGCGATTTAGCAGTGTACAGCTAATTCCATGATGGTCTGAGATCACATTCTCGTGTGTTTGTATTTTCATGGTTTTGGGGTCCAGGTTTGTGATACATGTGTCTATGCTGCTGATTGAGTTTCTGGTTAATCTGGTGTATGGTATATCTATTATTTTGAGGTTGTGTTCCAAAAAGAATCGTTCAAACACTTGGAAATTATGGTCCAGTTTCTGTCTGATGTTCACATTAGTGTCGCCCATCAAGATTATATCTTTTTTGTTTCCAGTAAAAATGCACAGTAGTTTGTCTAAGTTGGCTAGAAATTTGTCTAGGTCTTGGTTAGGGGATCTGTATGCTCCTATTATTATTAAATTATGCTTTTTAATCTCAAAGGCTGCTATTTCAGATATGAGCTCCTCGTTTATATTGGTTGTGTTTATCTGTTTTAAGTTTTTTGAGAGGTTTTCCTTTGCGTAGATGGCAATCCCACCCCATTTATGTTTAGTTCTTGAAAAACTGCATATTAGCATGTATCCTTCAATTTGAGTTTGTTGAAGCATATCATTTGACATTCCATGTTCGGTGATGATCAGTATTTCGGGACTTACTGTGCTTATTTCTATGAGAAGTTTCTCTATCTTCTTGTGTAGTCCTCGCTGTATGTTTAATTGGAATATCTTTAGGTTAGGTTTATTTTTTGTTTTCTTGCTTTTGTATTAATTGGTATGTGCAAGTTAGGCTAAGTGGGGTGGGGAGTGTTCCGTTTTCCTATGGGGATTTTGGATTATTGTCCGTGTTTTCTGTGTCTGGGTTTGGGTTTTGAGGTGTCGGGCTTTGTGTGTCTTGGGTGTGTTCTTCATTGGTGAGATTTATTATTGTAGAAGTAGAGGTTTCCAGTAGGGAGTCCTGAGTTGGGTTTTCAGTTTTTAAGTCCAAGGCTTCCACAATAATTTCCGCCAGTGTTGATGCTCCTAGTCTGTTTGGATGTATTCCGTCTGGTTGGTAGCAGTTTTCTTCGGATGCTGGTGAGGTGTCTATGTATGTTGCTCCTAACTGTTGACACATGAATTTTAGCGCTTCGTTTGTGTTATGGATGTACTTGTCTCTTATATCTGCTCGGGGAAGTATTCCGTTTACATACCATTTTACTTCACAAAATTTTTTTTTCCCTGCTTCTATAGCATACCATAATGGTCGCATTACATGGTTTGGTGTCTTAGCTGTTCCAACATTGTTTGAGCCTATATTTATCAGCACTTTTTCAGGAAGATATTGTGCTCTGCTGATGTGTTGGCTAATGTCTTTTATTACTGCGCCTGGTTTCACTCTGTTGTCAATGGTGCGTCCTAGTGATGCTTTTAGCATGCTAGCGGCTGCACGTAGTGTGGAGTCTCCCAATAGAAGTACTTCAAGTGTTTTTTTGTTGCTTTTAGGTGAGTTTGTGGTTAGGGGTTGTTCTATAGATTTTTCCCCTTGGTCAGATCCAGTCTCCTGTGTATCGTCATTTTCTGTAGGCCTATTTCTGTTTCTTAGGCCAACTTGTTTTTGTTCAGGCTTGTGTGTATTTTTGGTCATAGACTTATCTGGATGTGTCTTTTTGTTTTGAGGGTTTTTGTTTGAAGCTTTTTTTTGTACTGGGCCTGGGCCTTTAGTGACGTTTGAGAAGTTCAGTAGGCCTGTAGGCCTATTATTTTTATTAGTTTCCAGTGCTTCTTCCATTTTAGGGGTAGAGTTGGAATTTTTGGAATCACCTTCAAGGCATATGTCTCGGATGGTTTCCTCTAGCTTAAAGATCACTTCCATTTTTTTAATTATCACATCCGAGAGCCTAGCATTTTCTTCTTTTTCTTTGCTTATTTGGTGTTTCAGGGTGTTAATGTCTTCCATCAGTATTTCAATAACTTTATTTAGTTGTGTCGCTTTCTGTTCTTCCTTCTTCTCGCTTTCTCCGGGCTGTGCATTGGAGTCCTCTGTTTTGCTAGTCTGTGATGTATTCACATTGTCATGGCTTATTTCTAGTTTTGGCTTAAGATTATAACATGTCTTACATATCCAAGAGAATACAAAGTCATCATTTATAAGATCTCTATATTGTTTTTTGGTAATGCCGACACATTGAATGTGGTACCAGCCGCTTTGACAGTCACATTCGACTGCTTCATGTTTTTCCTCCACGTTTTTTTGGCAAACTTTGCAGGGGTAGGTAGGAGACTTTTTTTTTTTTTTTTTTTTTTTTTGTAGGAATTTGGTTAAGTTGGAAAGGTGGGTTCAAGGTTAAGGCCTAGGTGTTTTGGCTGGGTTTGGCGTTTGGTTTGGCTTGTTGGATTCCTACTTGTTTTTCAGTTTTTTTTTTATTTATTTAATTTTACAATTTTTTTTTGTTTTTTTATTAACCTAGAGTTGTTTTCTTTCTCCTAAAAAAAAGTTGCAGTTTTGTTACTATTTTTTATTTAGGCTACTTATTGTTTAAGTTTAATATTTTGTGCCACATACCTGCTTTTCCTACACATAGAAATGCTCACAGTACTAATGGTTGGTTGGTGCAGTGTCTTGTTGTTGTGTTGCCTTCTCAATCTGACAGATTTTGTCTGCTAGGTTGGAGGTAGAGCTGCTTTTTCTTCTTACTTCTTGCTTTTAAGTTTCATCTATTCAAAATGGCGTCAGGTTTCTGTATTTCTTACGTTATTTGGTTTTATTACTGTTTCTTAGTCAATTTTTGTTTTCAAATAGATTTTTGATTGGTGTTGAGATGTTTATAGACTGTAGGTAACAATTTCTAAATATGGTAGTTATTTTAGAATGAGTTTGAAAAATGGAGGTGGGTGTCCTATGGCCTGTAAGGGGTGTCACTTGTTTTGTCACTTTAACACTCGATATTTGTCGTATAAATCAAAACTTATTTATTCACTGTGTTTTAGATGTTTAGATCTCACTTATTCACTAGTATTTCGTCGCACAAAACGTAAAATCTTAATAAAACTGATTAAAAGAACTGGAGAGTTCACAGGAGAGATCTTGTTTCCAGCCACGGCCTCCTTGATCCTAACAAGGGATATTTTTTTGTCCACAAAGTAACGAGTGGCTCCACTGCAATAACCGAAGAATAGTGAAAAATAATATTTTAGCCTATACCTATCAGCCTACACATATGAGCTCACAACAACAATACCCCCGCCTTAGCAAACCTGCAGACTAAGCGAATTTCAACTTGTCTGATTAAGTTAGGCTACTTTTTTACTCAAATATTTCCATAATTAAAAACATATTTATTACCAATTTAAATAACATTAGATTTAGCGACTGCTTAGGATTGCTGCTACGGGGGAGGTAAAACATGTTTTTTGACAATTACGTCAATAATATAAATTGGTCAAAATTTATCAAGGTTCTGATTCTGATTCATATATAAGTTTACTGATAAACAAGTAAACTAACTTACAACAATTTTCATTTTCTCTATAAGAATAACGTTGGAATTTTAAATTACACTTTTCCTTTAATTTTCTCTAGGCATACAATAATTTAGCACCCCAATATACCAAATTATTTATTTTTTTAAGCTCTACAAAATGGTTTGGAAAGAAATCGCAAAATACATTGTTTTTAGGGTCAAAATTAAGAAAAAACCCATAATCCCCCGTCCCATGGTCCGATTATGCTGTTTCGAGAACTTGTTCGAATAAATGTAGATTTGTGACACATTTGTAGCAAATTTCATCAAACTCGGATAATTTTTGCTCGAGTTATCACGTTAACGGACATATATATATATGTGTGTGTCCGTTAGCGTGACGATATATGAATTTGAACGGATGGTGTTTTTGGCCTCTGGGGACCTCAAAACTAAAAAGGAAATCGGTCCTGGGTCTAGGTCTTACCATGAGACCTACAGTAATAGCTTATACCCTATATACGGGAAATTCGCTAAAAACAACTATCAAGTAATTTTTATGTGTTCGTGAAGTGGCAGAGCGACTAAATAGTTGCAGCTGTAAAACAAGTTTTATTCACTAAAAAATAGGTAGCCTACTGGTAGATCTAATTTTGGTTAGAAAGACATGTGTGAGGTATGGTGACTATTTTTGTCTACCAACTGGAGAAAACACATTACAGTACTTAGTTATGTTAAAATAAAATACCTATGCACCAATAACAAAATTCAGTGAAGTCACCCCTCAATGGTTAACTTTGCATATGTGTCTAACTGAGCCTCATGTGGAGAGTCAAATGTTTTCCTAATGGGATATCACAACTTGGGTGACATTATTGATTTAATTCGGAAACCTTGCCTAAAGCTGTGTTACCGTACGATTTATTTTCAACTCGGGAAGTATGACATGGGCTACTTAATTTAATCAAATAAAGTAGACTAGGCCTAATTAAAATAAAATAATTTTTAATGCTTTCCTCCATCAACTGTTTGACAGCATTTTTCACCTTGTAAATTCTTAAACTACAATTATAACTTTCTAGTTTCTTTTAAGTTGTCATTTTCACTCTCAATTTTATTGCTGTTTCATTTTATAAACAACGATTCTATTTGCTATAGGTTAACGTCCCTAAACAGCGGAGGACTTTCTGCAAGAAGTGCAAGGTACACAAGCCACACAAAGTTACGCAGTACAAGAAGTCCAAGGAAAGGCACGCCTCCCAGGGTAGACGGCGTTACGACAGGAAACAGCAAGGCTATGGAGGTCAAACCAAGCCTATTTTCAGGAAAAAGGTCAGAATATTGTCTTGTCACTAGGCCAAATTTATGCTGCTATGCTAATTTTCCATTAAATTTTAATTTTATGGTATTGGTTTGACAGAGTGCCATCAAACGGGGTTTACCAATATTTTGTTGGTTTGTGTTATGATGAAGCCCTGGATTATGCATTGTCGATCGACTGGTAAGCCTATGCTTTCCTGTCTTTGCAACAATGCTACAGCAATGGCAGCCACCAGCTTGTAGTGACAAATGTCACATCATTCTAGAAGCCAGCCTACATTTCCACCAACTTTATTAGTCTTGCTTGGTATACACCATATTTTTTTTTGCAATTCTTTGAAAATCAAGTTAGTCATAGCGATAAATATGACACATAGGCCTAATCACTTTCTCTTAAGTGTTCTCAATAATTGTAAAACATATCGGCCTAGTCATATTAACTTAAATTATGTCTAAGTACGCACTAACTTACAGTGATGACTTGATTATCCATCTGTGCCAACACACACTGAATGTCCATCCAGTAAACGAACGATCCTTGTTTGCAGTACCCTTGTGACGAGTTACCAATTACTCGTGGCGGGGTTGCCATTGAGCTATATCCTACAGTTCAATCGATTAAATTCTAATGAATGTAACATAACTTAGTGATTCTTATCCATTACTTTGACATGCATTGGCATTCGTACAAATTTCAAATATAACTAAATTAATATATTTTTGAACTTATTTGTCATTAAAGTTGTTGAAACAATTACTAACTTTTAATTCCCGTGCTGTTTGCCTCCTTGTCTCAGGCTTTTTGCTAAATGCAACTTTGGGAGAGGGGCATGTCTGGGCACAGTTGTTTGCACTGAATCGCTTACCAAGTGATTTCCTCTCATCTGCAAGCTGATGGGGCTTGTATACACCCATTTCAAAAGTGGGGTACCCTAGTGAGAGTTTAGTCTAGGTATGTGGGCCTAGACGTTATTCTGACGACAGCCAGTGTGTGTGTGCTAGCCTTTCAACGGACTACGACAGTAAATAATCATCGACAGTAGTTCATCGGTTAAAACAGTAAATAATAATAATAAAGCACTATCATAAAAGACTATAATAAAGCATTTTGAAATTGTTAATAATTGATAAAGTAGGCCTAATAATTATCCAATAAAATGGAAACACCACTACTGTAACGATATAAGTATGATTTTTCAATATTCCTCCAAACAACCATAGTACTCTGTTCTTGCTGTGATTGAGGCATAAGAGATTGCAGGGAGGTATGAGGGGTTGTGGTTGACTAATTGCCTGTTATGTAGCCCTGCCATAGTGAGGAAGTAAATTTAGGTACTGTACATGTGTCTAAAAGCTCATGGCATTAAAGATATTCTGTTTACAGTCAATATAAGGCAAAAGGAGTAATTTTGACAAATATGTGGTGTAAATTCATACCACATTTTTATAAGACGCAATCTTTGGGATCAACTAATTGAAGGGTTGGTGATTACTGATAACCAATGATTGGATAATCAAGGCTCTATAATAGTAAGTGTATGCATTGTCGATCGACCAGCAAGTAAATGCTTTCAGGTCTTTGCACCAATGCTACAGCAAAGGCAGTCACCAGCCTGTCGTGACCAATGTCACATCATTCTAGAAGCCAGCCTACATTTCCCTAAACTATCTTACTATAGTAATAGCCCGATAATCCGGCATCTGAAGGTCCAACGATCTTCTGGTAAATTTTTGTCTGTACAATATCTAAAGGGATAAACTTGTTAAAATATTTATGATTTCAAGTTCAAAGCCACTTTCAACCTTTTCTAGTTATTTATTGTTATGCTAATATAATTACGATACCTACTAATTTGTGAATTGTCGATCGACTGGTAAGCCAATGCTTTCTTGTCTTTGCACCAATGCTACAGCAAAGACAGCCACCAGCTTGTCGTGACCAATGTCACATCATTCTAGAAGCCAGCCTACATTTCCCTAAACTATCTTACTATACAGTAGAGTCCCGTTAGTCCGAAATGGTTGGGACCGGGCCCATTTCGGATTACCGAATATTTCGGATTAAACGTTTTTTTATTTTAATTTTTTGTCTTATTCTTACTACTTTTTTTCGGACGCAGGCACGAGCCCGGGATTGTTTTTCACATTACTTAAGGCTAGACCTATTGGCTGCAGCATTATCACTTAGTAAAATCCATTTGTGATTTGGCGGACGAAAATGTAAAATGTTACGGTAATAACAAAAATGGTGAAATATTTATTTACTAAAATACTCTACAAAAAAGTCTATCTCGTCCAGCCGCTACAGAATACTTTGACGAGGTACAGCTAACTGTGTCAAAAGTTTTATAAAAAAATTCAAAAACTTTCCAAAAAACTTCAAAAAATTTCAAAAAAAATTTCAAAAAATTAAAAAAAAAAATTTTTAAATTAAAAATATATTTTTGGTTTCGGATTAAGCGGACTTTCGGATTACCGAAGTTCGGATTATCGGGACTCCACTGTAATAATAGCCCGATAATCCGGCATCTGAAGGTCCAGCGATCTTCTGGTAAATTTTTGTTTGTACAATATCTAAAGGGATAAACTTGTTAAAATACTTATGAATGTTCTAAGCAACTTTGAACCTTTTATAGTTATTTATTGTTATTCAAATATAATTACGATACTAATTTGTGCATTGTCGATCGACTGGTAAGCAAATGTTTTCTTGTCTTTGCACCAATGCTACAGCAATGGCAGCCACCAGCTTGTCGTGGCTAATGTCACATCATTCTAGAAGCCAGCCTACATTCATTTGAAACAGTCTTAATTCGTCTTTTAGCATTTAACTTAAAACCTTTTTTTGTGTAATTCACACATTTGAAAACCTAATTAAAGTGCGTTTAAGATGCAGGAAAGGTAGGTTACTTTTAAGATGTGAAGGTTTCCTGGTACTATGTATTCTGAAGCATTAGGTACTATCACGATTACTAGAAAAATGCCGGTATGGATCATTAACATAAACAAATGACGTTGTTGGCCCGAATCCTATACTAATAGCATTGAACATATGTTTTGGCAGTTCCATTTAAGCAATGTTAAATAATGTTTATTTTCAGGCCAAAAACGTCATTTGTTTATGTTTATGATCCATACCGGTATTTTTCTAGTAATCGTTGGTACTATTAACTAACATAGCCAACATACCATGTATATCCTTTCTTTTAAATACGTATCAATGCTGATAATGTGGTTAGTCAGCGGCTCAGACGGTAGTGCAATGAATATAAAACATGTTGTAAGTTTGTTCCGGTGCTGCCACTTACTAATATGTATCAGTTAAGTTAGTACTTGTACTATACTAACTCAACTCTTTATTGAATGGCCCATTTCTTGATCGTAGGGACACTCTTAGGATTTCAGTACTTTAACACTTTGGATGTTGTCCTTGCGCCTTGCCTGCCAAAGATTGAGCGTGGGGTCACCAGTACCCTTGTTGTCTAAATGTAAAGGTGTCAGTAGCCTGATAACACTGTCCTGAGAACATTCAGTGTGGTGTAGCATTGTGTTTTAAGGAACATAACTCCAAACTTATTGTTTGTTCGTTTATCCAAGTACTTTGTCCCTGCATTTGGCAATACTGAGGGTCTGTTGGCAAGTTTGTTCAGTGCTGCTATCGTTTTGTTTCTTTTAAAACTAAACACACTAATTGAACACACAGTTGGCCTACATCCTTTACTGTGCCTCTCCCATTTGATGAAACTAAATTTAAACATTTTTGCACGTTCATCTATGCAGCACATTGGCTGTTCCTGCGGCTGGTAATCACGTTACCGCAGAAATGTGTTAATATTATATTTGTTACAGGCCAAAACCACAAAGAAGATTGTGTTGAGGATGGAGTGCACAGACTGCAAGTACAGGAAACAGATTCCCCTGAAACGCTGCAAGCATTTTGAACTGGGAGGAGACAAAAAGCGAAAGGTATATTTGTATAATATATTCGTTGTGCACTGGTTGGCAATTACTAGCTTATTTTTAGTCAGGGTTGTTTCAATTAAAATGTGATAAACAAGGGGATTTATTTTAATTTATGGTCTGTTTGTTGTCCAAAGCAAAATGGTCCTTCTAAAACGGTTGTCTTTAACTTTAAGTATTTTTTTCACAGTTTAAATCTTATCATATCTAGCTACAGATCCAATTTGGATGAAATTTAGTCTGTAGGTATTAATCCATGGCATCTTCAGGCGTTTAATTTCTTGTTAAAATTTTATTTTGGATTTGAAAAAAAAACCGAAAAATCAAATATTTAAAATAATTATAGATACTGTGAGACACTTTTTGGTTACAAAAAGCTCTTAAGAGTCCTTGGAACCTAGACGTTCTAACTCGTTAAACAATTAAAAAACTAGAGAAAGTTTCTAATCCCACAGTATACTTGATATTTAAATAACACTCGGTGTTTGAAAAAATATTATGAGATTGTAAATAACTCTTAAGCGGCTGTTTGAAATTAACGAAATTAACATTGCTCTTATGGCGGACAAATCCAAGATGGCCGTTAGCTTCCATGGACTCCCTTGGAGAACAATTAAAAACTACAAAGAACATTTCTAATCTCACAGTAGGCCTATACTAAATTAAATTATAATGATTTTGGTATTTGAAAAAATATTTTTGGACGATAAATAAATCTTCAGCAGCTCTTGAAAATTATCCAAGATGATCGCTAGCCCCCAAGGACTCTTTAGGTATAATGTATATAGGGTTTTGTATATTTTTATGCAAATTCAGAATTCTTGCAGTCTAATTTCTAAATCTATGCCTAAATTTCCTAATCTGCTTAGCACTAATCAGCAAAATTTAGAATTTTATATTTTAAAATCAAAATATTATCCTAAGTAATTAATTTTATATCAAAGGATTCAACTTGATGAGCAATTACATGTTAGACTTATGAGAAACAATGATTTCACACTTTAGTCCGTGTTTCTGATTGAATCCTTAAATTAATACTGTAGGCCTATTTAATGGTCTTGTAGAATGATGTAAAATTATACCAATCCCAGAGAAGCATTAATTAAACTAAACTTTATGTTTTAATAAGATAAATTAATAAGATAAATTTATAAAAATAGTTTAGCCTATTTATCTATGTGTAAAATTAAATTACTGTATCAAGTAATTTCTTCTTGGGTAAGCTGAAAGATGTTAGTTAAATGTTCTGGTGGATTCAATATGATGAGCAACCACATGTTAGACTTATGAGAAACAATGATTTCAAACATTATTTGGTCCGTGTTTCTGATTGAATCCTTATTTAAATGTTTGAAGGTTTTTAATAGGCCTACTGAATTGTTATTAGATTATTGAGCCCTACTGTAATATAATGTGTCCCTTAAATTTTTATTAATTTCAACTCTTGTATCAGTGTGACTAATATCATAGACTAAGCGACACAAGTAGACTCCTCATACCATTGTAAATTTTGAAGGTTGTTTTCCGTGTCTAGTTATGTACGTCCACACTGATCGCTGGGGTAGACAACATTTTGTTTCTATTATTTTAGGGTTATTTTCATGATTTGTGCTTTACTATTTGGTTATATAACTAGGAGATCAGTTAATTGTTTATTTGGTTAAATGAGGTTTTCATTGCCTGAAATAACAAGAAACAAATTGTAAACAAAATACGACCTCTACAGTTGGGCGTAAAGAACTAACAATAAAATTTGCTTCAGCTGTTCCTAGAGGTCGACTAATCTATGTTTTATCTATGCTAATATTTTAACTATCTCAATATAAAGTTACGAGTTACGATACTATGGTCTTAAGTAATTTCTTCTTGATTTACCGAGAAACCTTTTCCTAAATTATACTGGGGGATTCAATATGATGAACTTCATGTTAGACTTATGAGAAACAATGATTTCAAACACTTTTGGTCCGTGTTTCTGATTGAATCCCGAATTATATGAATAGTACTCCTGTGGTCCTGTGTTTCAATGAAAATCAGAACTAATTGAGAGAAAGACACTGGCAAATCTATGAATCTGTAATATGTCACTAGAGAACTTCTGAAGCACATCAGTAATAATTCATAACCTAAATTTTTACAAAAAACTGTCTGGAAGTTACTCTCTGCTGAAACCAATCTAAATAGGCTAGTTAAAGGATAGAGTGTTTTAAGGATTTAACTATTCAACATGATGATACCAAGCTTAGTAGACTTAATTATTTCAACTTGTTTGGTCCGTGTTTCTTATTGAATCCAATGTATATTTTAGAAATTTCCGTAATTTGTTTAGCCAACAATCAGTTTTTCAGTTGCAAATTTCAATATCTATTTCACACGAGGCCACTGGTGGCGGCCGGGCAACTGCAGTGGATGGTACAGGCAACTAACAAGCCACTCCACTACAGCCACTGTCCAATGGTAGTTGAGAAAATACTGTCGAACAATGAACATCTCCTTCTTCTCGCGTTGATAATAAAGAAAATAAGGCGAAGACACAGGCCTTCTATCCCAAATTGCCGGGAACTTTACAATTTCAAAAATTAGATCTTCAGTATTCACTTTGTCTTCTATTATTTTGTTTAGTCTGTTCTTCTTCTTCTCATCTTCTTTTTCAGTTCTGATCAATCATTTTCACATACAAACAATTCATCACATATACAAACAATTCAACCCGAGAACACTCAACAACTACGACAGTGCGTTTGTCTCTGCACGTGAACTGAACCAAAATAGTAGCTGCGCGCGCATCCCCAGTGGCGGCCACTGGTTACTTCGTGTGAAAGCTCCCATTTAATTCAATGCGCTGCAAGAAGTTGCTGCCACTGTGGTTGCCGACTAGCAGTTGTGCTAGGAGACACTGCTCGGCCACTGTGTCCTCGCGGGCAACTGCAGTGGCTGCGTGTGAAGGCTCCCATTTAAAATAGTGTTAAAGCTGTGGCAGGCAACCAGTGGACCTCAGTGGTGGTCCCAGGATTTCATTTTGGGGGTGGGTGTGACCACCGGGGGGTCTGGGGGTATGGAATATCCCCCAAAGAATGTGGGGTCCAGGGAATAGGAGCTTTTTCAGAAAAAATTGAAATTTAAAGCCTCAAAATTGAATTTATACGTATTTGAGCTCTAAAATGTGCCCAAGCTAATAGTATATATGTTAGCTAATAAAATATTTCAGGGGGGACATACCCCTCCCCCCCTGGAACCGTCACTGAGTGGCCTCGCTTGAAATAATGTACGAAGCACAAAATGAACTCCATAATATGCTTGAGTATCTGAAATTGTACTTTATTATTAAGTTTTTAAATATTAAATATATTTGTTAAAGTCCAAACAAATTTTAAGTAGATAAATGAAACCACATGATGATGTTACCTTATTTCCGTGTTTCAACTGAGATCATGATTAAAGACCATTGACTGAGTAAGGTTTCTATTTCACTGTGGTCGATATAAACATTTTGCTAATGGTAGTATGCTTAGTTTTAAAAATATTGGCATAAAGGTACATAAAGAGGTTCTAATCACATTAAATAGGTTACAGTTCCGGCACCACATTTTTTAAATCAAGCACTGCATTTTAAAGCATTTACTCTGATTGAGTTTGTCACTGACATCCTTTCATTTTAAAATTGCCATTGCGACTCTGTAGTCATGCACTATACTTACTAATGTGTGTTTTTTTCTGTTTCAGGGCCAGATGATCCAGTTTTAACTTTTGATATTGTTGGTTCATTAAATGTCCTTTTTATTTAATATTTCTAACTTATTTCATCCCAAATAGTTTTTATAAAATAGACACTAAGTTATTTAATATAAGTATAATAGCTTTCCATTCTGAATCTTTAATGGCTTTTCATGCAATAATCATTGGTACTGGTAACAGTTTATAAATCCATTTGAAAGTGAAGTTGAATCTTGATTTAGAAGTAAAATTAATTAGTCATGATAGAGCCAAGTTGGTTTGGTAGCTTTTCTAGTGATTATTGTCTTTAAAAAGCACTTGCTTTGAAATTGAAATGGTTCAATCATAACAATGAATATTTTCATTAATTTTTTAACTAGGCTATTTGATGGGATAGTACACAGGTGTAATTGGAATTGGATTCCAAAATTTAAACTGGTTCACTTTTATTTTACTTACTTTACTTGCAAGTTAAAATTTACTTCATACGTGTTAAAAGCTGAAATTGACCTGTCCTCGTGTCACCAAAACAACTAACAGGTGGTGATAATTATTGATCTCATTTCTCTCTCTATGTCTGTGATGTTCAAAAGGTAATTTTTGTTTCCAATTGAAATTCAAACAGCTTTCCATATTATTGTCATAATCTAATATATAAAATTCTCGTGTCACAGTGTTTGTCTGCAAACTCCTCCGGAACGACTTCACCGATCGTTATGAAATTTGGTGTGTAAATTCTGTAGGTATGCGAATGGGACGTAAACTATTTCCCGTTTCGAAATTCTTAAAAGGGCTCCGCCCCAGTGGCTCTGGAGTTTCCCATGTTAACCTTATGAGAAATGGAATTAATGAATCTTAACAGCTGTTTCAATTAAACAAGTTGGTTCTGTTCTATGATATTCAATAGCATTAAAGTTACAAGGATTACCAACAGGGTGCAGCACTATTATTTCTTTTACATTTATGGCAACAGCTAATTTGCAACCAAAAGGTGAGTGAGCGTAGCGAACGAGCTAACCTGAAGGCAAGTGAGCGCAGCGAACGAGCTCCAACCTAAAGGTGAGTGAGCGTAGCGAACGAGCTCCAACCCAAAGGTGAGTGAGCGTAGCGAACGAACTTCAACCAGGACGTGATTGAGCGATGCGAACGAGATCATCTTGAAAATTAAACGTAACGGTACTTTCTTTCCATCGGTCTGTCTTAGGGGAAACCTATAACTTAGGCGATACGAAGTTCGCCGGGTCAGCTAGTATATCCTATAAAATTGTATTGAATGTTTCTTAGCCTTAGCTAAATTAATCCTAGATTCATTTATAGGACTCTGTCCATAAGTTATTGAAGTTGCTTAAAACGTCAAAATTTTAGAAGATATTTTGTGATGTATCAGTCCGCTGATTATAAATTTGTCTTAAGCTTGTCATTTGTTTACATTCTATCTGTATATTTTTTTAATGGTTGTTTACCTTATAATCAGTGATGAGTAAGCTGATTTGTACATCTTCCGAGTTGGGCCAATATGATGGTAGTTTGTACCAAAAAAATAATTTTGGTTTAAAATGAGTACAGTAGTAGTGTCATACCATTGTATACTAATGAATGTGTCAATGGTCATACTAATGGATACAATGGTGTCTATTGCTTTGAAAGTTAAAAATTATTTCCATATACAATTTTACACCCAAGATGAACAAGTATTTTCTTAAGTTTTATTAGCACAAGCATGGGTTTAGCATTGGTAGTGCATATGGTTAAAAGAAAAGAACGCCACTTTTGAAAATTTTCTTTCTGTGACATCATGTTGTTACTAAGATTTTAAAGTACCTACAGTACCGGTACTTTAAATCAAACAAATTTCCATCTCGTTTTACAGAAATTTTAGAAGTCAAAACTCTAGTTTTAGCATTTATTTTGTACATATTTTACATTCAATGGTTGAAGATGTCTGGGAAAATCCTTTAAGGTCATGCTTGCATAAATATCTGTGTATTCACTAAGAACATATAAAACAACTAAGAGCTAGCCTACTAAAGAAATCAGAATAGTAAAAGGAGCTAATTTAACACCAGATTATATAGTACATTTCATTCCAGTGCGTTTCATGTGTTAGGAGTAGCCGAGCATGTGAGAGTTGTTTTCACGTGAAACGGGAAACTGAGGATGGAAATAATTGGAGCATGTGCCAGAAATTACTTGCGGTACAATTTATTAACAATACTTTTCATCATGACGCAAAAATACGTTTACAGAAGAACAGGCCTCCTAATTTACATCATTTTAATTGTATAAGAGTAATAAGATTAGCAAACCTAGGTCCCGGGCCTAGGTCTTACCATGAGACCTACGGTAATAGCTACTTCCCTAAAGGGAAATTCACTAAAATTAGAATTTTAAGGTTAATATTCATTGTGCTGTAAAGACAACACACTAAGGTGCATAGTGGGCAAATGAAGAACTGATTGAGAGTAAGGGAAAATCAGCTGATTTGTTTTCCCTTGCTTAACATATTAGCTCGTCCATATTAAGCGTATCCTTAGCTTGGGAAAACATATTAGGCTTACTTTCTTTGATCGGTGTTATCGAAAATAGCTACTTCCTGTAAGGTGTGTTGAAAAGAACTTGTTCTATTTCATAAGTACTGTGAGCGATCAAACGGTCTTACTGAGTAAAGGATAAATATTTTATCGCAAAAGAATGCCATTTCACCAATCTAATGCTTGACAAAATTACACTAAACACATTGCGAATGGATGCTTCTAGTGTCATAATGACAAAATTGAGGAAAAGATTGATTGGCTGTTTGAACTTGTTTGTCTCATAGGAATCTCTTTCCCACATTATAGGCTCCATAATAGTTTGTTTAATTAAATTATCTTTGATATGTTAAATCGGGAAAGTCAAAGTAGCCATGATCCTGAAGAAGTCAAAATGAGGAGTAGCTTGACAAACGAGTGGTTATGATGCTCGTCTTAGCAACCAAACTCAGTTCAATGTTCAGAAAATCCAGTAACTTTTTGGTGCTTTTAAAACTGAACCCACCTATCCTTGACCCTTTTTGTCTTTTAATTCACAGTCATGGCTTCAAAAACAGCTGATCTTGGTCATTTTGCATAGCTGTCATAAGCTTAAAGATGTACCTGTCTACAGTACAGAAAGTATGTTGCTGTAATAGTATATTACGTTACTAGTCCTGAAAATAAGTGTTTACCGGACGAGTGTGGTCGTTCCCGTGCGAGACGAAGTCGAGTACGGGATTACCATACGAGTCCGGTACACACATTTTGGACGAGTTACGTACGATAGTTTACGCCATACTACTTAATTCGTACGAATCCTTAAATATTTCAACCAACTAAAGGACTAAACATCACCAGTCATAACCTCTAAGAGAGGTTATGTTTTTGTTTATAACCAATCATTTCCACGCAAATACAGTATAATCAGCTGATTGGTGTCCGGTAAAACTCATTGCAGAACAGTATTACGCAATGAAACCCCATTTGAATAAGCTGGCGGCAAACAGCTGTTTTCTGGACTAAATCCTTGCGTGGGAAGTTCGTCAAAATAATGTAGTGTGGCGTAAAGTTATTTTCCTTCTAAACTATCAATTTAGCTTTAGGTGTGATTAATATTATTTTATTCATGTTCAATAACATGATATGAAAATTATGCTTTAATACTTTTCATTGAAATGGCAACCATAAAAAGTAGGTAGGCCTATTTTAAGCCAAAGTATGAATGGAGATGAGTGGCGCGATCTTGTAGTCTTGTTAGTGACTAAGGCCGACATATATTCCTTAAACACAGCTGTTAATTAATAGCCCATACAGCTAATGGCATTAGAAATCACTTTAAGCAATAGAGCTGGAGATGTTCTAATTGATGTAATAAAAATAATGTGCATTTAGCCATGTTGAAGTTACAAAACCAAACCTTCCCAGATAGCAAAAAATACTTGATTAAAGCTTGAAACAAGTATGATTTTTCAAATCTGCAAACTTGAATCAAGTTTGCTCGGATGGGTCCGTAAACTTGATTCAATTTAATATCATGCGTCGAAGTTCCCGCTCTTCCAGTTTGAATAAAACTTGAAACATCTAATTTGAATAAAACTTGAAATTTCTAGTTTGAATAAAAATTGAAACATCTAATTTGAATAACACTTGAACTATCTAATCTAAATATAAATTGAGAAAATACTTGATTCAAGCTTGAAATAAGTTTGGTTTGACAAATCTGCAAACTTGAAGGATCGGGTTTGTAAACTTGATTCAAGTTAAAATCATGCGTCAAAGTTCCCGCTCTTCCAGTTTAAATAAAACTTCAAAGATCCAATTTTAATAAAACTTGAAATACGTAATTTGAATAAAAATTGAAACATCTAATTTTAATATAAATTGAAGAGTACAAGAAATAATTCTTTTTTGGCCACTTACAAGCTCTTTTTTTATTTCAGAAAATTTAATTCATATGCTTTTACCAGGATTCACACAGTCTTGACACATGTAATACAAATTTCATATTTTTTAGGTTGAGATGCATAGCACAATATAATCTTCCAATATTTCAGATAATTTTTCACAATCACAACATAATCTAATAACAATCTAATGCCAATAGGCCTACACTTCTCTAAATAAAAAAGCGAGATACCATCTAAAAACTTATTTTTATAAAAGAGGAGGAAAACATGAGTTATTATAGTTTTCAACCCTACAATTTTACATATTATTACTATTCAGTACGGTACGTAGAATTCAGAATTCTTTGGAATTAAAAATAAAACACAAGAGGTAATTTGTCTAAATAGATTTATATTGAAGATTTACATAACACATTTACATTTAAAAATGCCTCATATCTTTAACTTTCAACAAACAATTCCCTCAAAAATTCCTCATTTTACGATTACTTTAATAATACAGAGTAAGTTATCTATTCAACAAGATCTTCATCATCCCCATTGAGTGGAACTTCTTCCCCACTGTCCACAGTGGCAGGTTTTTTCCCTCTGAAAAAAGTCAAAACAAAATAGAATCAATATTAAATTTAAGGATAATTAACCAAAATGATTAATTTTGTATCTCTGGTATAAAAAAAATAGGCAAGTAAGCAACATTTTTAACTAACGCAGTTTAACTCACAACCAGTGTAGGCCTGTTTAGTGAAAATTAATTTATTCCTACAATGATAAACAAATACAATTTATGATCTTCCCAATAATATTAATATTAATTATTAATATGTATAAAACACAATTACATTTTTATTGTCAACAAATGCTAGACACAAGCCCAGGATTGTTTTCACATTACTTCAGGCGAGACCTAGGCGTTGCGGCATTATCACTTCGATAAAATAATTAGGTGAATCTGCGGGATTCTATATTTTCGTTTAAGTATAAAACTAGTGATAGTGCTTGGTTGGTTATCCTAAATATAGCCAAGACATTTGTTACAAATCTTGCTCATACTTTACAAATATATATAAGCTTTCATTTACTGTATAAATTAACCCAGGTAAGCCCAGCATTGCTATGAAACATGAAAACCCCTCTACAAGAATAAAAATACTTGCATTTTTCTTTTGGCGAATTTCCCTATAAGGAAATAGCTATTACCGTAGGTGGCATGGTAAGACCTAGGCCCGGGACCGATTTACTTTTTCATTTTGATGTCCCCAGAGCCCAAAAACACCATTCGTTCACATTTTTATAAATGTATATATAGATATATATATATATATATATGTCCGTGAACACGATAACTTGAGTAAGTTAATTTTTGTCCGATTTTGATGAAATTTGGTTTGAAGGTGTAAGGCGGGATAAACTTGAATGAGTTCGCGAACCAGCATGATCAGACCATGGGAACGGGGTTTTACGGGGGGTTTTATGGGGTAAAAATAGGGTTTTCTAATTTTTGACCCTGTAAACACAAAATTTCCCAATTTCTCTCCAGACCTTTTTAAAGAGCTTAAAAAAACAAATGATTTAGTATATCAAAGTGTTTTTTTTACAATTATTGGTTACGGAGAAAATCCAAAAAAATTTTATTTTAAAATTCCCATGTTATTCTTATGGAGAATATTGTAAAATGTTGTAGTTTGCTTGTTTATGGATATATTTTGACCAAACTTGGTAAATTTATTTATTTGATACTAAGTTATTAATATTTTACTAAAAAAAACACACTTTTTTACCCTCCTTGTAGCAGCAAGCCTAGGTACTCATTAAAGCTAATGTTAACCCATGTAGCACAGATGGTTGGGCCAACGTTGGTAAATTGTGGAGCCACACAGTTGGCCAACGGTAGAAATGTCACCTCTTTAAACTGTTTTCCAGCCAACCATTGTCCAACCGTTTTATTTCACACAAAATAATAAAGATTTAGTACGAAAAGCATAATTATTAGTTGAGTAAATTGATTAAATAGTTCATAAAAACAAATTTTGAAAAAAACTAGAACAAAATTTTTTTGGCCCAGACGGGTCTCGAACCCGGGTCCTTCGACTTATGAGCCTCTTACTTTACCACTGAGCTATCTGTGACTGCTGATATAGAGAGTTTTCAAGTGGTGAAAGAGTAGCCGACAGTTGCAATGGTCGCAATACTTCAAACATTTTTGATACTACACAGTATAATATGATTCTGTTAATCTGTTAAGGCATCATAAGTAGTTTTTTTTTTGGAGTTAGAGAGGATACTGGTATTTGAATGATTAATTAATTACCGTTAGATTGTTAATGCTATTATAATTGCCTGTTATATGATTAATTACTCTTTCCCCTTAAATTGTTGCAAATAAGTTAAAGAATATTAATTTAAAAAATATTTGCATTATTAAAATTATTAAAATTCATTGTTGTAGCGCCGGAACTGTAATATATAAAATATCTGGTTTTACAATACCTTTATCAGTTCCAAAAACTTTTGGAAACTTTTGGAACTGATAAAGGTATTGTAAAACCAGATATTTTATTATAATTATGTTGTGAAAGCTAGACCCAGAGAATGAAAGTCGTGTAAACTCAACTATGGACCATTGTTGGTCCAACAAAAGTATCTTTTGTTGGTCCAACGGAGTTAAAAACGGTTGGACAACGGTTGGCTTGATGTATGATACCCAGCAATGTATTTCATTAACAATGAACCAATGTTGGTCCACAGTTGTAAATATTGGTTGGCCCAACTACGAGATATACAGTTGGACAACGGTTGGTTGGTTGTGGAAGCTCCAACCAACCATCGACCAACTGTCCCACAGTTGGCCAACGTTGGCCCAACCATCTGTGCTACATGGGAAATTAATACATTTAATTGAAAACCAATTCAGGCAAATGGAAATTCACTTAGTCGGCAGGTTTGCTGCGGGGGGGGGGTATTTTTTAGCTTATACAGTACCTGAGTCCTTGAGTGATCATAATGATAAACAATAAAAAACATTTTTATGAAAAACCATTATGCAGTAGACTAGACTCCTTTTTACCCGAACACCTAGTAACCAGACTGCACTCAGCAGATATATTTCTTAAACCAGACAATTTTTATCAGTACGGTTTAACCACACTGGATCGGCAGGAAGTGGGGGGGTACTGAAAAAAATTGTCTTGTAGGATAGATTTGAGACCATTCATCACATGTCTAAAGATCAAAAGATTTAAAAGGTATAGTCTTGGCATCTTATGTTTTGTTTATAGTAATCCCAAAGTGTCTATAGTTTGGCTATTTTACAGAATTAACATTATTGGCTTATATATTTTGCAGTAGACTTTCATGTAACAAGTATGAGGGCACGTCAGTTTCAACTGTCTCCTCCCCTGTATAATTTAGTCCACGGTACAGTATTATTAGGCTACCAATGGAATTCTATTAATGATGAGTTGAATAGTTAGTTGGTGAAAATTTTTTATCCTTACCTTCTTTCACATCTGGTTTTGGCTTGTTGAAGCCACTTAGCATCAACGCTTGTAACTTTGGCTTCCGTGGCTTCACTTATGCCGAACATTTTCTGTGCAGCAGCTAAAAAAAAAAAAAAAAAATACTTAAAATGAACTTAATACAGAATAGTAGCCTACATTTAACCCCTAAGACCTAAAGTTTGTCTTCCCATTTCAAGCCTGGGGTTAGATTTAATTTCTGAAGCAAAGTTCAAGATTTTACTTTCATATTACCTTAATATTTTAATAAATCAACTGTTTGACAAGTTCGCTACTGATCGACATGTACATGCGCCGGTAGGGCGATTAAGATAGACCGATCCTAATATTCAACGTCACTGATGGACTAAAGGTAGTAAATAAGTCAGTAGCGATTAGTAAACCTTCATTTGATTTTTCCATTATCAGCAAGTTTGGTTAGTTAGGTTAGGTTATGACAGTTTAATTTTTATATTACACAAATTATAATTTTTTTTATTTTTTAACTCTCATTTTGTCCGTATTAAAATTCCGCAGGTGTTATAAAAATTGTGCCACCCCTACAGTGCCTATCTTAACCGCTTCTGGTAAAAATAATCCAGCTGTAGGCCGATGTGTATAACTTTATTTAGAAGGTCTTTATTACATAACCTGTGTCTAAACTTAAGCCTAGACCTAAGTTATTTTAGTTATAAATTATTTATGTTAAAACACCCAGGTACAGTTCTGCAATAAACCTACAAAAGGCATATTTTATATCATCAGATGCAACTTTTATTCGATAATTTAACTTAGGTAACTTAATAAAATATTAAGTTAAGTTAGGATTACATTATTTTTCCATAAAATACTGAAGTAAAGTTATAACTTTAAATGTTTGACTCAGATTAAAATATTTCATTCGAAGTAAAATATTAAGTTTAACTTAGGCCAGAGTTTCTCAAAGTGTGGTCCGGAAGCATTTTTTTGTTGAGTCCACAAAAAACATTTTAATCAAATTTATTTTTATATGTATTGTATATTATATTATACTAGCCTATTTTGCTATAGGCTAAAGGATTAAAATTAAGAAAAATGCAAACGAACTTAAACCTAAATAAGTAACTTACTTATTTATTATTTAGGTTTAAGTTTGTTTGCATTTTTCTTAATTTTGATTTTAATAAGTAGCTTAAAGGCCTATTTTGCTTGGAGCGATTGCAGCGATAGTCACGTGGCGATAATCGCTCCGCGATAGTAGCTGGGCACTGCTCTGACGGAGTTTGCGTTGTCCTATTTTGCTTGGAGCGACTATCGCAAGAGTTTCTAGCTACAGACCCGGACCACTGCCCTGGGTACCAGTCTGAGCGATAATCACGCCATGACTGATGCACAGTAAAACATGCACAGAACCTCAAAACAGTCCAGTTCACTCCGTAGGCACATTAATAATACGGGTTAAAATAGCCATAATTTACTTTTTGTTCACATTACTTTCTCCATTCATGTGCTGTTAAGGTTGTACTGTTTTGGTTATTTTTTCTTACACATTAATTTCATTTTCTATATTTAATTGTAGGTAGAAGAAACAGGCGACTCTTCATTACCAGCAAACTTTGCATTGTCATTGCTCATATGTGTGTTTACATTTTTTTAGGTAATCCTCGTCCATTCAAATTTAAATATAAAATGCTTGACTGTTCCAAGCTGACTATGTTACTTAGTTGTGGGTTTTAATACTGTATCAGTTTTTTTGTATGAATAAATATTTTTTATTTAGACTCCAAGTTTTATTTTCCGACATTCATGTAATCTTATTGATATCACTAATTTGTTTTTATTGATATAAATATATTTTTTTCATTGACATCACTACAGTTTTCTATTTATATCCTACCTAGTGACATCTAGTGATAAGTATCTGTCCCAAATCCTACGTATCACTATGTATTTTCTATCAATCGTCTATTGATACTTCCACTAGGGTCAAGTAGAGCCTCATCTTCTAACTCCTCCCTGAGGAGATACTTTAAAAAGTTACAACACGCACTCGTGGCCTCACCATTGTGAGTGCTGGTAGGATTCAAATAACTATGAAAAATCGTGCGACGACTGAAAATTAATCGCTCTAAGCAAAACGGCCGCTGTAACAGCGATAGTAACTGAACAATAATCGCTGTGCGACTATCGCTACAATCGCTCCAAGCAAAATAGGCATTAAGTTAAGCGGACTAAATCAAAGTAAGTTAACGTAATGCCAATTTTAGTTTAATGGAGAAGAAATGTTGTAGCCTATATCAGAAACTCATCGCCTGAAAGCTGACCAGACTCTTACTGCGATTAAACGTAGGTTACTGCATTTTATCTGACAGTGTCACTAACAACGTAGGCTTAAATATTGAGTAGGCTACTGAAGTAACTTAGCTTTAAGTCCCTAGCCCTAAGTTATAAGTCACCTACACATTAAAATATCATTGTATAAAATATGGCATTAAGTTAAGTCTAAAGCCGGGTTTTCCTAGACGCGGAAAAGGAGCGCGGAGAGCGGAAAATCGATTAACATGGCATTCCGCTCCGCTTCTAGGAAAACAGTAACATTAAACTATTTAAGACAAGAGGAGTTCACTCTCCACGCTACTCTCTCCCCACATAGAAAAACCCAGTTTTATAGAATAGTCTACAACGTAACTTAGGCCCATTATGGCTAATCTAGGCTATAACTTACCATAGTCTATACTATATCCTAAACAGTGAAGACAATGCCTAAGTTAGACCAAACTCCAATACCTATCTTACATGGAGAACTTGATATCCAAGCTGGTTAAAAAAAAATGTTTTTAGGCATACAAACAACTCAAACAAACTAAGGTAGGCCGATAAGTTGACAACAAATTATCGGTCATATTTAAATAGGTACACTTCGCCTCTAACCTTTTTATTTTTCAGGTTAGGCTACTCATTGCACGTAGGCTGACCAACTCAAAAGTGGCTTGCTTTAGGCTTTAGGCTATACTTAGTTCCTTTAAAATGTTCACTGATTTTGAGTTTACTTAATTTCTTCCTAGACTATTCTCGTAATTAAGACGATTTGATTTTGTTAGTCACAATCCTTGAGTTTACTTAACTTAGTTTCCAGTTTGTAAGAACTTACCTTGATGGATAAGAAGAAATAGGCCTAGATGAAACTTAATAAAAAATCAGCTTCAACAATATATAATAACTTGAACAACTCAGCACCACAATATCGATATTTCACAATGAGAGAGATTGAGAATGAATCACTCACTCACAAATACACAAAAACAAAGCAATAAACCAATATGGCCGATGGCGTCTTCAAGTGTCGGTCCCACCGTTAGCGTCGTTCCCGCTTGGAATTGTGGGTAACTTACAGTCGACTCCAATTCGAATCCAACGTGATACTTAAAAGCTGTAATTTCAAGCCAACGTAAGCGTAATGGAAGTGCATTGTGGGTAATATTACACTCGACTCGGGTTCGAATCTAATGTGATATTTCAAAGCTGTTAATACAAGCAAGTGCAAGCGTAAAGGTAGTGTGTTGTGTATACTCGAATCCAGTTTGAATATAATGTGACATTTCAAAGCTGTTAATTCAATCCACTGTAAGCGTAATTCAAGTGTGTTACACGAAGTTGACACTTGACTCGAGTTTGAATCTAAAGTGACAATTCAAAGCTGTCATTTCAAGTAAAAGCAATCGTAATTCAAGGCTTGAATCAAGCTTACGTGCTATCTGGGTTTGTTTACAGTTAAGTTTTCTATACCAACCTGTGAGAAATAGCACTGTTGAAATATGATGCCATGACTAATGTGTACGTTGAAAAGTCGTAAGGAACTGTGACTGCATAAATGGCTTTGAGAGTTTGCAGAAGGCCATAATACCATTGACAATACCTATTTGCACAGCGGGCAATCACAAAGATGCAAAATGGCACGATTACACTATCGGAACGGAGCTTTAAAACCAAATTTTTTTCCCACTTTTACCCAAGTCAAACGCTGCAACTTTTCTTAAAGAGTGAAAATTTAAAAACGTACGTTTTCAGGAAAAGCTCTTTTAAAATTTGTTGTTCCGTTATTTGGAACTTTTTTTTTATTTTCTTTATTTCATTGACATTTGAAGTTTCATAAAATGTCCATGGTAACGCAATATCTTTGGTGGTTTTAGCGAATTTCCCATATAGGGAATAAGCTATTACCGTAGTACTCATGGTAAGACCTGGACGCAGGACTGATTTACTTTTTTGTTTTGAGGTCCCTAGAGGCCAAAAACACCATCCGTTCAAATTCATATATATATATATATTTATATATATATATATATGTCCGTTAGCACGATAACTCAAGCAAAATGATCCAATTTTGATGAAATTTGGTATAAACGTGTAAACCTATATTCATTCGAACGAGTTCGCGAACCAGCATGATCGGACCATGGGATCGGGTGTTTATGGGGGGTTTTATGGGGTAAAAATAGGTTTTTCCCATTTTTGGCCCTATAAACACAACATTTCACAATTTCTTTCCAAACCATTTTGTAGAGCTTAAAAAAACAAATAATTTAGTATATTGAAGCATTATTGTGCGCCTAATGGTTACGGAGAAAATTTAAATTTAAAATTCCCATGGAGAATAAGTCAACTGTTGTAATTTGCTTGTTTATGAACATATTTTGATCGAATTTGTAAAATACTTTCATTTCTTACTAAACTATTAACATTTTACAGCAAAAATCACCTTTTTACCTTCCCTGTTGCAGCAAACCTAAGTACTCGTTTAACTAATTGTATTTAAATAGGGAATAAATGTGATATTTTTAAGGATGCATTTTAGTGTAAATCCAATCAGGCAAAAGGAAATTCGCTTAGTCTGCAGGTTTGCTGCGGCGGGGGTATTTTATTAATAGAGCATCTTTGTTGGAAAAACACGAAATTTTGTCACGACCATCACAGACATAAAACTGAATATTAAAAATAGTTAACATTATTTTTATAACTATGTTTTGCTATAAATTAATTTACTTTTATGGCCATTATACAATAAACAGCTCACTAAGCTTTTGGTATATTTGGTCTTTCTAGAAAAAACTAAAAAAAACCTAAAAAAATTAAAAAAGCCAATAAAATCTTTTAAGTTTGTATAACTCCGAAAAATCTTACCTGAGACCCGAAAAATCGTTATGTTTTTATAGAGGTATGCTTATTTTGTGTATCAAACATTGAAATATGATGTTATTTTAATTTTAGCGAATTTCCCATATAGGGAATAAGCTATTACCGTAGTACTCATGGTAAGACCTGGACCCGAGACCGATCTAATTTTTCATTTTGAGGTCCCTAGAGGCCAAAAACACCATCTGTTCAAATTCATATATATATATATATATATATATATATTTATATATATATATGTGTCCGTTAGCACGATAACTCGAGCAAAAATGATCCGATTTTGTTGAAATTTGGTACAAACGTGTAAACCTACGTTTATTCGAACGAGTTCGCGATTCAGCATAATCGGACCATGAGATCGGGGGATTATGGGGGATTTTATGGGGTAAAAATGGGTTTTTCCCATTTTTGAACCTAAAAACAAAAAATGTTGTGATTTCTTTCTAAAACGTTTTGTAGAGCTTCAAAAAAGAAATAATTTAGTATTTTGAAGCGCTGTTGTATGCCTAACGGTCACGGAGAAAATTCAAAAATAGTGTAATTAAAAATTTCCATGTTATTCTTATGGAGAAAATGAAAATTGTTGTAGTTTACTTGTTTATGGGTATATATTGATAAAATTTGGCAAATTTATTTATTTCATCCTATACTATTGATGTATGGTCAAAAAACACTTTTTACCTTCCCCGTAGCAGCAAACCTAAGCACTTGTTAAATTTAATGTTATTTAAATAGGGAATAATATGTCTTATTTATGGAAATATTTTAGTGAAAATGTAATCAGACAAGTTGAAATTCGCTTAGTCTGCAGGTTTGCTGAGGCGGGGGTATTTGATATTTTTATGATAGAAATCATAAACGTGATCGTCAGGGAAAAGCGGTACGGTCGTGAGTTGTCTGGAATAATCTAAATCTTTCTAAACAATCCTCCAATTATACTGTTAGTTATAATAAAAATGTGTGTTTCAATTGAACTAAAGTGTTCAATTTACAATGTTATTTAAGTTATTGTCACGACCAAACACAGTATAATCCATAAGGCTGGATTGGTCGTGAAACTTTGGTCGTGACATTACGTGTTATTTGGCTCTGTTCTGGTGGTAGCCCTGCACCTCATGTTCGTGGATACAAAGTGGACTTCTAGGTTTATCTAGCAATTGAAATATCTTATAAACAAAAATTAACACCGTGTCTACTTCATCGAATGACTGCGTACGGTCATGGACACACCAAAATTACAAAAAACACAAACTTGCCTTTATTGATCTTGTAATTCCTCCTTTCAACTCGAAACGACCGGCACTACAATCCAGACATACACCCCGAACTAGTCTCTAAAACGAACTGACGCAATCGAAGACAGGCTTGCCACTGTCGTGTTCCAAAGTTGAAAATTTTTCCCAAATGGTTTGAGACGCCAAATCGAGGGACAGACTTATTTTGTCATGGTAGTCAGTTTGCAATGACAATAAAATTATAATATGCTCCTTTTTTGTAAGTTTAATAACTATTGATGACATAAAAATATGGCTTTATATATTTCGGCATGAATAATTAGTCTAAAAACAGCGTTAAAGTTGGAAAATGTACCCTAGGAACACGTCATGGTCGTGAATTTCGAGACTTTAAAAATACCAAAAAAAATACCTAGAACCTATTTAAAACCAAATAAATGTGTGTAACATGTTGCCCCCATCCCAAAAAATATTAAAACACAAAATAATAAACTACAAATCCAGTATCTACGAAGTAAAAGGCCAGGGACATGAAAACGTAGTTTTTAAATTTTCACTCAAAACCATTATTAGAGGTTACAATCCCAAACAGATCGCTTTATAGTAAGCTTAGTAATTGTTTAAAAAGGAAAAACTAGACTAAACTGGTGTACCCTAAGTTGGCTTGTGGCTGATTGAAGTTTATTTATTTTACTAGCCTGAAAAAAAAAACTAAAAGAGTAAAAGATGTACGTCTAATAACACTTGTAATAATATATTTACACTTGTAAGGTTGACTCACAAGACGGTAAATACATATAATACCTCCTGCTGCAGCAAACCTCCTGACTAAGCGAATTTCCATTTGTGTGAATTAATTTTTAATTCATCTATTTAAAAAGTACCTAGGTTTGCTGCTTCAAGGAAACTAATAAAGTTTAATTTTTAGTAAAATATTAATAGTTTAGTTATTCTTATAATAATTATCGCGTTTTTATTAATTTTCTATACAAGTTTTTGATAAATTTCCCTGACTTTACTTTAGGCCTATTTTCAAAAATTTTCCCTGACTTGCGGCCTTTTTTTAAAACTTTCCCTGACCCCTCTACCTGTTTCCCTGATTGTCCAGGTTCATGCGGGAACCCTGTAGAAGTGTTATTTTCTGATTGGTATAGTGTAGCTTTGTATCCCTTTTCTCTTACTGAGGGGGAGGGGTCTACCGTTTCCGTTCGTCCAGTTGTTAATTAATCTCATGTTAGCCACCCATCACTCAGTCCTTCAACACAACTTTCAACCCGTTCGTTCATAAATACTTTTTTCATCTCTCCAAAAATACTATCTAAAATATAACGACTCTCTTTCAGACAGGAGTACAGGACTTACACTTTGACCCATAAAAGGTAATATAATGGTTTAATTACATTCAGTCTCCAGTTCAAAGTAAGTCAATTAAAGCGACCTAGGTTTCAGCACGACGTTGTGCTATCATCAGGCTTCCAGTCGAAAATGTTCAGTCCATTGGACGTCATTTAGTAAAAACTATATACAGTTCACAAGTTGACACAAACACATACACATTTACCGATCGGTATTTACAAGGGGAGAACGAGTACATTTTGTCAAATCACCGGCCGCAACGAGTGACATCCAAGCCACAACTAGCTAGATAATTCTTGTGGTCTACCTGACCTTTGTCCTTTGTATTGTCTTGATCCTTGGCTAATAGGATGCGTCAGTGTCGCTTGGGTCTCGATTATTTTGTTGAAAATTAAATTGGAGCTGTGGTGGATTTGATCGTTCATTAGGTTGTCAGCATATTGTTTTAATGACTTGTAGATGTGAAACTCTTCTAATGTATCTAATAAAAAGCATTTTTTGCAATAGCTG